ATAGATTGTGAGTCCAATCCATGCTGGGTTCATATAAACCCTGATTTCTGTTTTGCTGAACCACAGATTTGGGGTGGGCCAATTCAAGGCACTCAAACTGCGGCCGGACAGCCATCCGTCATGGATGCTTTAACTGGAGTCCTGCACAGAGCAAGGGGTTCGGCTCAATGGCCTTATGGACCCCTTCCAACTCCACCATTCTATGATTCCATGAACTTTTTGTGAGATATATAGATTCCACAGAATTATGGGCTATTTTGTTTTTTCCACTCACTCTAATTTTACTAATCAAACATATCTGCCCCCATGGAATAAAGCATGAAAATGCACATTTTGGAGGATTTGTAGATTTTGGGTGGATCTGCACATTTTTGGAAGTGTGAATTTGCGAAAACACCTCGGAACCACGTCTGTGCAAAATCTGATTTCGTCACTGAGTGGATGGCAGAGTGGAAGGTACCTGACGATGCGCGGCACACAGGCGGAATGCATTTGGCAAGCTCCTCTCTTCCTGATAGATCTCAGCCACGGAGCCAGAAAGTCCCCTGATCCAGCAAACAGGCAGGGTGGTAGCCAGCCCAGGCCACGGTGTCCCCGGGCATCACTGGTCCGCTGGTCCCGTGATGCACGCCGGCGCTGGCGAAGCTGCACGGCCAGGCTAGTTCAGGGGGGGGGCCGGCAAGAGGCAAGAGCTGTTCCGCACTAGCTCGCTGCCCCCAGGTGCTGCAAGTCCAGCCCAGTCAGACTCTTTGCATGGAGCGACATGTGCACCTCATTTGCCCTGGTCCCACACTGCTTGGCGAATTACTGCAGGGCACGGCAGGGCTGGTCCCAGGAGGTTTTCCTCCCTGAAGCAAAGAACAAATGGCAGTCTCCCTCCCCCGTTCCTAGTTTATAAGCCAACTGGATTGGCGACTGAATCTTGTTCCAACGCTGGTGCTATGATAGCATCTTTCACTCCATGCGGTCAGTTTAGGGGATCCAAGCCAGGCCATGAGGCATGTGCAGTTCTGTCTTCCGACGGAGGAGAATGGCTGGCAGGACGCTGATGCTGGCCCAGCAAGGGCTGCCTGGGAGGACGACCCCACTTTGCCCGGCGACAGGGCTGGCCCTAGCACAGAGGCACTGCCTACAGTCTTTGCCAGCTGATTCCTCCAGCTGATGATGCCTGTTCCCCTAGGCCTATAGGTCCCTCATCTCAAGACCTGCCAACCCATCCGAGCAACTCATGACTATAAGCAGCTGCAACGACTTCTGGAGCCTTTGCCCCACCATCTTCTCTGGAACTGGATGCTTGGCCTGCCCCCACCTCTGGCCCCTCGGACCCCAGGCTGTTTTCTCCAGCTTTCAACCTGCCCACCTGGAACCTGCTGTCTGCCCAACACCTGGCAACCAGGAGCAGAGTACCAATACCCTCTTTGACCATGTCAGCCCATCTAGCTCAGTATAGACTATATAAGTGGTGGGACATCTGTGGGCTTCCAGATGTTGCTAGACTTCAACTTGTAGAGGGCCAAGCCAACACGGCCAATAATGAGGACTGATGGAGTCCGAAAACATCTGGAGGGCCATGGCTTAAGCTGACCAGAAATGGCTCTCCGGGATGTCCGGCCCCAGCTCTGCTACCCAACATCCTTCCTGCAAAATGGGGTGCAGATATGGCTTTTATAACACTAGAATCCAACAGGGGCGTTTCATAAAACTGGATAGTGGGGAAAAAGAACTTCAGACCATGCATAGTTAGGATACAGATTATATGATGGCCACCATCTTAGAGGGCTTTAACAGGGGATTAGACAACTTCATGGAGGAGATGACTATCCACAGCTACTGGTCATGATGGCTTTCTATGACCTCCAATAGTAAGGCAATATGCCCCTCTGTATACGAGTTGCCGGGGAACCTGGGCGGAAGGCTAGTATTGTGCTCCTGTCCTACTTGTGGGAGTCCAGCATGGCTCATCTTACGTTCTTCTGCTAACTTGAGCGAACAGAAACAGAAGCTGGCAGTGTCCACAGTGTGCTCTCCTGCAGAACTTCACTTTCCTCTCCAGCTTCAGTCCCTTTTTGCTTTAGGTGTCCAAAGGAAAAAGCACCAGAACTAACCAAGGTACAAATATTTCTCTCCCTCCCACCACTCCACTTCTATAAAAATCTGCTCTGATCTCATTCCTGGCTTCCGCTTCAAGGAGACAAAATAATAACTCTGCCGTGCACAAAAGTGTATTGGGGAGAGAACAAATAAGGTATGAAAAATGATTTCTCAAGATCAAAGAAGTAAGTCTTTTTGCTGAAGTGAAACAGGGAAAGGGTTGCACAGATGAAGTTGGGAATGATACCATGTGGATCCTTTCGCATTTTTGCCTTCTTTGCATCCATTTTCTATGTTGGAAGCTTTTCAGTACTGGCATAAGACCTATTAATATTATCTTTCCTTTGATAAGTGCAAAAGCAGGCCCTCCAAAAAACCCGGCCAAAGGAAAGCTCTGAAGAGACTAGAGTGTTTTCCAGGCAGTGCTTACACTCGCCCTCCTGACAGTTTAAAATAGGATTCATCTCCTTTAAATATGTAAATACAATTAGCCACATCTGGCCAAGGTCTGTGTAATGCACAGCGCAGGCTGGGCACAACTCATGGGGAAAGTGGGGAAAGCGCTTGCACGTAACAACAATCCCCAGAATGCCCCTGCTGCTGCAGCAGCATTTCAAAACTAGCAGCCTCCCCTGCTCCAACAAGCCCAGGGGCCAATCAGCCCACGGCACACACAGAACCATTCACTGGAACAAGAGGACAGGACAAATCCACTTCAGTGGGACTTGGGCAAGAAGCCAATCTCAGTGGAATGCATCTGACGTCTATCCCAGTCTTTCTAAGGCTGGCGCACTCCAGATGGGGACTTCAGCTCCCATGAGCTCCAGCCAGCACGGCCTGTAGTCAAGAATTCTGGGCATCATAGTCCCAAACATGCAGAGGGCACGGGTTAGGGAAAGCTGACTTAAGTAATACCATTCCCCACCTCTCTTGTTCAGGGTACAAGGGTCATTGCTTACGCACCATTCACACATGAAAGAGAATTAGGAAGAGGTACGGGGAACCCCAAAGTTTGCAGAAATACAGAAGATCTCTGGCAGCAGATGGTGGGACTGACCTAAGCAGGGAAGAACCCAGCACAACCTGACGAAGAGTGAAGAAGATCACTGGCTAAAGAATGTGGACTTGACTGGTGGGGCAGGAAGGAGAGTGAACGGAATGGCGTTCTGTGGAGGAAAGTTGGACTGACATGACTGGGAAAGTTAAGAGGAACAATCCACAGAGCAACACAGCACAATTACCTATGTTCTTCCCCCACGTCTTTCTCTCCTGGAAGATAAGGTGCACACCATTCAGTGCTCTGCCAATATACCGTTTCCATGCAACTGTAAGTCCCAGAATCTCATTTTTAAGAGAACTCTGCTTGCTTCAGACTTAATCCATTTGTCTCACAAGAGACCAATATCATACATTTTTAAAATGTCATTTATTAGGGTGTGTAGGTCAGTGCATTGCATTAAAAACCATGTATATGTCTGAAAGCATATACGGAAGGGCTACCTGTTGAAAATTAAATAAAGAAAACCTATTTCCACTCATAATATTAACCCCAAGCCACTTATCAAAATCTAGCCCAAGACAGAACCTCCAGAAGAAACTCAGAGCTGAAATTTCCATAATGTTGGAAAAAGTGCCAAGAATTTTCTTTGCAGGACTGTACTACTTGAGAGTTAGGGCTGTACCACTTCTTATATAAGCGTTTTGACACAAAAATATAGCCTTCTCAATGACAAAACACTTCCTTTTCACACCTAGTGCTGTTTTCTTTTTGCTTCCGCTTCCCTGATGAAGTCATCCTAGCCAATCAGGGGACAGAACACCATCACTATGGCACTACATAGCCAATCAGATTTGACTACCTAACAAAAAGAACTGAGAAGGAAAGGAATCATCGCCTTCACTCAGAACTGACTTCTGGACAACTCCGAGCAGACAATACCACACCAGATCTGGGCAAACACCAAATGGGCAAAGCTTGCTGTTCTTGTTCAGAGCATCCACCAAAGGAGGGGTACTTTTTGCAGATTATTAGAAAGACTTTGGCTCAGTCCCAAACATGAATAGGGGTCGGATTTGCCTGTTTAACTGATCCCCGTATCACAAGATCTCTGCACATGGAATGCTAGCATGTCGATGAAATTTTTTCTTATTTATCGTTCTCACTGATAAATTAGCAGGACTGCTTCTGACTCAGAGAAGCATTCAAGCATGAAATATCCTCTTCCCCCTGAAAAAACCCACACATATTTCAGAATGTCCGTGTAGGGAGACTTTATCGTGCAATCCACTGCACCTCCATGTCTGCCCTTAAACTAGGCTTTAGGAGCTCCCAGGGACTCAAACATTTCAAGGCTGGGAAGGAGAATAGCTTTGCCGATGTTAGCATTTGTATGCCAAGTTAACTCAAAAGGGGGCTTTAAATCAACACTGGAGATCGTGGTAGGGGAGTCTGGGGTATGGTGATGGAGGACAACTTTAAAACAATGTGTTTGTTGCCATCCATATTGCATACGTAGTATATTCTTGGTATGCACACGCACACGCAGCTGGCCCTGGAAAGCCAGTTCAAGCCTGTTTTCCACTATGAAATCAAACAAATGAACGAACAAACGAATGAAGACAATACATGAGGCCTACTATAATCTGTTATTTATATAATGCTGCCATTGTGCCAACATGCTTAATTCCTAAGTCGGTGGCACTGTGAATAACAAAGAACAGCCCCTTTGTGACGAAGCGCCCAGAATGCTGGAAATCCAGGTTCATTTCCACAGTCAGCTCACCTAGAAACTCGAAGCGGGGCAAAACCTTCAAGCTTAGCAGCCTCCAGGGACTTGCAGCAGACAAAGCTGTATGTTGACAGGACCCCACAGCTGAAGCTCTCCAGCACAGTGTTGGTACGCACTTACCCATGCAGTACCCCACCAGGTTGAGGTAGTGCCCTTCCTTGCAGGCGGTGCGGCATTTCCCATCACCGAAAGTGGCGTGGGGGTGACACGCTCCACATTCGTCCTCCGAAGGCCCGCCACATGTCTTGCAAGAAGGGTGGCATGCTGCACGGGGGAATGACAAGAGGCAGCTTTGCTAAGACCATCAATCGCTTTAACAAAATGCATGCCTGCAGTGAACGCACGCTCATTTGGAACACAAATATCCGTATTCAGATCGAGAGATAGAAACGGGGGATGTTTCCTTCGCAGCCACACTGCTGCAGGAGAGAAGTCCCCGGCTAACGCACTGCTTGCATTGAACAGGACATGTTCAAAAGCAAGGAAAGCCATCTGTTGACAAAGAGGTGTGCTATCCTGTTGAGAAGCTTCTGGAATTTTCACCCGGGCTCGATTAGTTATCTTGCTACGTAAGCTGCAGAGCTGAGCACCAGCCCTGGAAGGGCAGCTGTACGCCATTGCTTATCCAGAGCTTATTCTGTCCTGCTCCTTGGGCCACAGACTGAAATGCAACCATCTGTTCCACGCATATGTGTTCAGGTCCTCTGTACTCAGGAGAGCGGGCGAGATAATAACCAACCGCGACCCGCTCTTTTCTCTGTAACTTGGCAACATTTCCTCCTTCATAAACTTCAGAGTCTGTGGCAGTCTCTAAAGGAGAAACAATAACCCAGTACAGTTACAAAGAGGGTTTATCTCGCCTGTCGACTTGTGGCAAAGAGATTATCCTGAGGCCTCCCAAAATATCAGCAGCATACTTTCATAGGCATTTCTCATTAACGAAATAAAAAAAGCAGCTCTCCGTTATCTAAGAGCCCTGCATTCCTCAGGATCCATCCTCACAAGCTCAGCCTGAAATTAAATGGGATCTTTACAGAAGATACATTCATCATGACTTTGAAGTTTCAGACAAACGAGCAAGACTTGGGGCTTCCACCATAACCACCATCCTTCAGGCTGTTTTGATTTAAAAAAAAACAACAATAACAGAGGGTGTATATCTGAACTGTTCCTCTCAAGGTATCTTGAAAGGTTTTCTGTTTACGGGTTTAACCAAGTGGAATTTAGAGACATCACGCAGAGGCAGATAATGGGCCCTAGCATATTCAGTTGAAAGGATGAAGTCACCGCAGATGAGAAGACAGTGACCTGGGCCTCCGAGAGCTGGCGCCAGCTCGTGTCTACATTACTGGGCATTGCACATAACATTGCAATGGTCTCTCTTGCTTCTGTAGTTTGAACAGGGAGGGATGGGCTGGTTCTAGAGAGGTTCATTGCCTAAGAGGAGGAAAACCACCCAAAAGGAGGATTGCTGACTTGCATAAAACAGGCATATATTCTGACTGATATGTGCAGAGGCAAATTTGGAAAGAATTCCCTAATTTGAATCACTCTAGTGGGCAAGACTGTGATCTCTGTGCCTGCTCAGTCTTGCTGTCCAAGCACTCACCGCTGAATGGCTATTTCAAAATGGCACTTGATCTTTATACTGGACTTGGATGAGAAAGCCCTTCAAAGAGAAGACAGCTTCAGACAGAGCAGAGGTGAGTAGATGGCAATTCTCCAGAAGTTTTGGACTTCACTTCCCAGCATTCCTGGCCATTGTCCACGCTGGCAGAGACTAAATGGAGTTGAAGTCCAAAACATCTGGAGATCTACCTTCTGCCCATCCCTGAAACAGAAAATTGTCCCCAGTCAATGGCATGGCTACTGTAGGAGGCCAGGAAGGCTGGACATTGGCTAGGATGCCACCACTGTGGCGATCGACATAAATGGAACACATGCATGCTACTTTCAGCCAGGCTGGAGGCAAGGATGAGGAGAAAAGTTGCCACAGAGGCCTTTGCAACAGAAGGAGACACTCCAGAGTCTCAGGCCTGTTCAGCCATGGCTGCGCTACGCTGCCGTTCCTTCAGCCCTTGATCGGCTCAGATGGAGAAGCTCTTTCTCTGGGCCGGAGGAGCCCTGGGGACCACATCCCCGCAGCAAGTTGGGACAAAGGCCAGCCGCAAGGACCGAACCTGTTCCAGCCGGCGGGCTAAATTCCATTTCAGAGAAGATTTTGGGGGCTGCATTTCAGAGGCAAGAAGGGCCAAGGGCGAAAGGAGCAGGCCCAAAATTCCAAAAGCAGGTTTAGATAAAAGCTCTTACCATGAGCCTTAAGAGAGGGATTCCAATCTTTTGGAATGGGAGAAAAAACTGCACAAAAGTTCAGAAATGCCAAAATATTGTGAGTTGGTTGAAGGAGATGGGGCAGGTCCACCTGGGGAACCCCAAAGGGCCCTACTGAGACCTCAGGTGAGTCAGATTCAGCTCACAGAGAGGATCTTGCCTTAAGGCAGAAACCATCCCCCCTCCTTAACAAACAGGCAGCAAAAGCAGGTTGTTCTAGACATAGAAAACCTCTCCCCACCTGTACCTTGCCCTCTGCCACAAAACACACTTAAATTCATGCAGGAGATTGCATTGCTGACACCAGCACATTGCCAAGAATAAAATATAAGAATGTTTGCTTGGTGGCCACTACAGTCTTTTTTAAGACCCTCTACATTTCACTGCAGAATCGGTTAACATCATTTTTATTTAAGTCGATTCTTTAGGCCCCGTCAACTGCTCTGGTGTGTGTCTTGTCACAATCAGGGGTCGGCAGTGTGTGGACTCACAGTGGCAATGCGCGTCCTGGCGATACCATCCCTCCGGACACTCCGAAAGGCACTGGTCTTCGTAAAGAACTTGGGGAGGTTTGCAGGCCGTGCAGTTCTGTGAGGATCCCGCAGTGCAGGACAGGCAGGAGAAGTGGCACTCTGAAGAAGGAAGAGATCAAAGCAGGGTGGGAGGGAGGCTGGCCAGCTCCACCGCTCCAGTTTCACCCTGTCTATAGCAGCTTCTCATATTAAGGAGCTGTGGCAGCACGACTAGATGAAAGACTCTTAAGGTGCATGGCAAAAGCTTCTCCGGGAGACCATATCCCAGAGTGTCAAGATGCAGAAAACAGTGACATCCGTTGCTTCACACCACTGAAGAGGTCTTGAAATGGCAGACCTCTCCAGTGGTATGTGGAACATCTGGGCATGGCTTCCCTGAAGTAGAGAAAATGGAGTGGGGAAAATAACATAGAAAGAAGGCTGGTGGATCAGGCCAAGGATTCATCTGGTCAAGGGGCCAACCAGTTGCCCCAGTAGGACATGACTGCAACAGCACTTTCCCAGAGTTCCCCCCGATACTGGAGATCAGGACTAGCAACAGCCGACGGGACTAGCGACCAGTGGTACCCTCCTCCTCCTCTTTCATGACTTTGTCCAATCACCCTTTAAAGCAGTCTAAACTGATGGCCATCACTATGGTAAAGGATTCCATAGACCAGCTGTGCACCAAATGGAGAAGATGTAGCAGCTGTTTTCAAACCCCTGAAAGCATCTCTGGGGTATCCTCTAGCTTGGAATCTGAGCAAGCTGGACTACATGCCCTCGAGTGTGGCTGCAGGAGCACTTTGGGCATTCATGATGCAGCTGGGCAGCTCTCTCAGAGGGATGGTTCAACCTGGAGTTCTGCGTTCAGCAAGGGGTTGGAGCCAACGGCCTTCTTGGGCCCTTCCAGCTCTCCTGCTCTATGATTCCGTAAGGACCAAATTCAATTCCAGAGAGGCTCTTTGGGACTGCATTCCAGGTGCGTGTGGGGTGAAGGCAAAAGGGGTGTGGACAAAAACGCCACTACATTGTCACCTGACAATGCCACCTCTTGCCAGTAATTATGCAAGGACCTTTAGAATCATGGAGCCAGCAGGAAAGTGAGGTGGGGGAATATGTAAAAGCTTGAGAATTACCAAACGATCAGCCTTCGGGGAAACAATGGGAGTTCTCTGGTGACTGGAGGCGGGGAGCAAACCCTTTGGCCCTGCCCTAGATGGACCCCCTCCACCTCTAGGGCTCTGTGATCTGCTGACTTGCTAATCGCTCATGAGTGACATTGAATCGAACCCAGCATAAAGAGCGGCAGCCGCCAGGCGATCTCGTCAGCTCATTTCCCTAAAATCTATGTAACAAGCAAATGTGCTTGCTGCAGAGCGTGCTTTGGATACAAACGCTGCACCGGTGCTTGTGAGAGGGAACCTGCTGCAGCATCGCGCCCAGGAGACCCAGGGGTCCAGCGAGGCACTCAGAAGTGCCTTTGCAAAGGACTTTCCTCCAGTAAATGTCAACATGAACAAATACAGTGAGCACAATAGTCTTTCACTAGTCAACAATTTCTGGGAAATTTATATAGACAAGATGCAGGGAGTGGGAAGGCACTCATCCAGGTCAGCAGAATCTCTTCTTTGAAGCGAGCCTGTAACTGTAACCAGGCAGAATTGCTGGTCTCAGTAAGGGTTTACTGAATAGTTTAGGGCCACTGTGGGGTTGCTGTTCTCCGTCTGCCACAGCGATAAGGAGCCTGTCATTTTTGTCCAGGACTGTGTTGGTCTGAGTGGCAATAATCTATGGATGCTGGAGGGATGCAGTCTTTCTCATTCTTACATGAAATGATCTGCATCTCTCAAGACTACAATGCAGAGCAGACCTTAGCAATTCACCAACTCTTCACTGCTCTCTGAATGCAGCGTAAATATGCATTTTGACAGAATAAACACATTTGACCCCAAAACGAAGTATACTTTAAAATATTCCTTTGAGAGGATTAAAACAGCAAGCCACAGATTAATGCAAACATGGGAATAAAATCTGGATAAAACAGGTGCAAGTGACACAGGCTGGATAATGTTCTGCCCATTCCCACCGGGTGAGGCTGTCCCAACAAAGCAGGCTGAAAGGAAAGGAACCCTCTTCATGGACAGGAGAGTCACGAAAGCGCCAGTGTGGCGTAGCCGCACGAGCGCTGGACTGGGACCCAGGACATCCAGGTTCGAGTCCCCACTCGGCCATGAAGGTTGTAGCGTGACTTTGAACAAGTCACTGGCTCTCAGCCAAACCAGCTTGTTGTGAGGATAAAACGGAAAGAAGGACCACACGTGCCACTTTAGGCTTCTTGGAGGAAAAAGGCAGGTGTAAATGCATATAATAGAATAACAAATACAGATATAGTTATGCCCATTTTGTATGCAGCTGCCCACTAGAGAAGCTGCTGCTTTAACAGCGCAGCCTTGGATCTGAATTGAACAGGTAGTCCCTTTCCAAAGGGACAGCTCTCCACTCCTGTCGGACAGGTCTGAAGTACTCCAGATCCTAGACTTGTGAACTGTGACCAAGACTGTGATCAAAAGCAAAGAGAAGCCAAGATCTCAAGCATCCTTGATTATAATCCTTTGCTCACCTTCGCATACCCCGTTGTTACTGAGGTAGAACTGGACTCTGCACTGGACTAGGCAGACACCCACTAGGGTCTCTTCAAGATCCGTTTCTGGTTGCAGAGCCTCCTCCGGGTTCAAGCACCGTGTGCAGTGTGAACGTTCAGGGCCAACACACTCCCGACAAGATGAATGGCAACCTGCACAAGAAGTAATGGACTGAGAAATCCCCAGAAAAACAATAATATATCTGAGGAAGAATGAGAAATGGAGAAAGCCAAGACATGGCCAGTGAAACAGAGTTCTACTTAGCCTGGCTTTTCTATTTTCGTTCTTCTAGCATTTCTTCCAGGTTAGTTTCCACAAACATACATACAACAGCATACAAAGGCTACTCCTGAGAATGTTAGAAGGCCAGGTGTCCTAGTTTACAAAGTAGAGTCCTCCGTTTTGGAGACCCGACAGAGAATTATGCTGTATTCGAAGATGCCTTCTGTTTGAAGGGTTCTCCAGTCCCAGTCTGGCTCAGCCATAAAGAAGGAGAACAACAGGGGTCTTGCAGTCGCCCATGAACAGTCAGTACCCTGGTGAGCAACATGAGCAGGCACATGGGCTATTTTTTCACTATGCATACATGTACAGTATTTCTATTTATCTATGTACTTCTATTGTGGTTATTATTTCTAAATGTGTACCTATACATATAAATTTCCATATGCAAAAGCTAAGCAAATTGGTATTTTCTTTCCTTGGAGATATGACGTAAATGTTATTTATTTATTTATTGTCCAGCAATGGGAGGGGAAGTTTGTGTTACCTTTGCAGACGGTGTGATCCCGATAAAAGCCCTCTCCACAGGAAGGCAGGCAAAAGCCCTGGTGCAGAGCCAGAGGGAAGGCACAAGAGGCACACTGCGTAGACAGGGGCCCGACGCAGCTGCTGCAGGAATTGTGGCACGCTGGTGGAGAAACAGAAAGACTCTGGTAGGGAGGCAAGTTCAGGACTGGAAGTCCCTCCAGCTACCTGGCTTCTCACAGCCCATTCTAAAGGATCCTTCAACCAAAAGTAACTCCTGTCTTGGCATGAAAGCCCACCTTACTTTGACCTCAGCCTCAGGAAAACCTAAAAAAGGAAGCAAGAAGTAGCTGTTGGCAGGTGATTAAGTGTTCCGGGTTCTTCAGCTCAGTCTTCATCCCCAAACTGACCTGATTGGGGTCTTTGAATCTCTCCATTGTCCTCTGTCCCTTTGTTTAGCTGTAAAATGGCCTTGAATCTAGTTTCCTTTCATCTTCTTCCTCTGAGCTGATTTCCCTCTTGCAAACTTTCCTAAGCACACCTTCCTGCTTTCCTCCAGCCCAACATCCTGGTTGAACCCCTGACCTTGCCATGCAATCCTGGACTGAATCAGAGCACCAAGCACCCGCAAAGAAAAGACAGATCCTTGCTCCAGGCACTGAAACACCAGAAGACCTGCTTGATGCAAAGCTCTCAGCAAAGCCCAATAAATTCCAACATATCTCTTCCATTCAGCAGTCTGGAGGTTCCCTGTCACCAGATTCAGTGAGTCAAGCAGAAAGACGGGTCTGTCTGACGTAGTGAATCGCTCTTAACATGCATGGTACCCCCACACAAAGCACACTTTTTAGCCATGCAGGTTCTTCCAGTTTTACGGCAGGAAGCTATTGTATGATCCATGTGGTAAGCTGTTAAGAGGGGTATAAAAATCAGAAGGGCTGTCTAACTATAAATCCTATCATCCCCTATCAGGGGCTGTGATGGCTGATGGGTGCTGGAGTCCAAAATATTTGATGGGCCACAGCTAGCCCACTTCTGAAGGAAAGCAAATGCATAAACCGGCGATGGGGAACTTTTTCAGCCTGAAGATTGAGCTACAAGATGGGAAAGGTTTGGGGGGCAACATTCCACCCCAGAGTGGGACCCCTTGTGATTATTACCACTTCAGGTCTACTCAGGGGAAAGCATGAGAAGCGTTTCCTGTGCCTACTTAGAGCTAGGCAAGGCTTGCACACTAAGTGTGCAAGCTAAGCTGTATTGTGCAGGCAGAAAAGGGAGCCTTTGCAGTTCTCTGCCGACTGGCAGATGCTGGGAGTGGGAGGCTGTTTACTGTCAAAACATCCGCCGGGATGCACTCTTGGCACCACGCTGAAATAGCACCACTGATACTACGGCTTTTCTTGTCTGCTCACAAGCAAGCAGGTCTCCTGTCTGCAAAATGCACCGATCAACTCTCTGCAACAACTCCAGTTTGCCAGTTCTTTAAAGGTTGATTATAATTGTCTTTAAATACCCTCTAATCACCAGCCACTGATGGGAGGTTAAAGAAAAAGAGGTCCAGACAGGGATTTCCTAGGGGGTTAAGTCCAGCCACAGGAAGCTGATCCAGGTTGGGTTAAACACTCTTTGTAGCTACAAGGCCAAGCTGCAGAGGGTGCCATGCAAAGACTTGTCCTACCTCTGCATCTCTGGGAAGGATCAGCATAATGGCCCTCGGGGCATCCTGTCATACACTGGCCACCATGCAGAAATCTGTCTGAAGCGCAGGTGGAACATCTCGGCCGGTCTGGATAGCATGTCTCACACGTCTCATGGCAGGCTAACAGAAAAGAGAATCCCATTAGTACTTGTCAAAGGGAAGGAGAACCGGATGACGGATATCCTGCAATGTAATTGAGCAAAATAGCATCGTGGAATGGTCGGGGATGCACAACTTTTGGTTACTGTTGGTTTTTCATTTTTTCACTCTTAAATCTGATTCGCTTTTGAGAATTTCTTAAATTCAATTCATTCTAAATGTTGAGGAAGGATGTACAAGCGATCAAAGCTCGTCTGTATCAGATAGTGAACTTCACTTTAAAAACATGCATATTACTGTGCTTATTTTTCCAAAGGTATATATGCATCCATTGCTTGCATATTTGAAATGTATGCATTATCCCATCGATTATAGTGAGTCTGTGTGCATTGTTCAAACGTGTGATTTTGATTTTGTTTCATACACATTTTTCAGTTGTATGCATGCTGTTGAATGCATTTCTTTGTGGTCCACCAATCAGTGTGCAAGTTCAGAAATATATGAACTTGTACCACAGAATGCATTTCAGTCTGGAAATTTTGCACTGAGTAAAAAACCTGATCAAAACTGAATTGAAACAAATTTCTCATTCAGGTTTTTTTTTTAAATTAAGTTCACATGAAATTGCAAAAGAATTTTTGTGCAATTTCATCACTATAATGCATTTTTGCCTAATATATATACTTTTTGCAAGTTATTTTTCCAAATATAACCCATTTATAAACATTATCTTCTGTAATCTTTTGTTTGGATGTTTTAACTGAAGAACCCAAAATTCGGAAAAGTACAAAGTTGAATGGATAACTGAGTTTGGTTCATACAGTGTCTGAAAATATTTATTTAGTTATTTAATTCCATTTCTATGCCGCCCCATACCCTGAAGGTTCCTGATCAGTGAGATCTGTCACCCAATCCTGGCTAAGCACGTCCTCCTACTTTCTGCATCTTCTCTTTAAACGGTTCCCTCCCTGTGCCCGTTGGGCTGAAAGTGTGAGGGTCACTGTAAGTTGGAGATTAAGATTGCCAGGAGAAATATCAACCATCTCAGATATACACATGATACCACTCTGATGGCTGAAGAGGAACTAAAGAGCCTCTTGATGCGGGTGAAGGAGAAGAGCGCGAAAGTTGGCTTGAAACTCAACATTAAGAAAACTAAGATCATGGCATCTGGTCCTCTCACTTCCTGGCAAATAGATGGGGAAGTGATGGAATGGCACTGTGGCCTCCTGGGAAGTCCCACAGGGCTGGATTGGTACCCCAGATGGCCGAATTTTGCCTGTAAAACTGAGATGCAGCATTGCCAGACCAATGCATGTGCTTTGGTAGAGGACTATAACCTTTGCTTGTCCACTGCACCCTTACTGAGCATCTGTAAATGATGAGGACAAAATCTGACCAGCTGTGAAGGGTTGTCCAAGTGCCTCATTTTCTCTGCGCTCTCTAAATTAACTGTTGACAAGCTCTGCGTTTTCCACAAATAAGAGGATTTATGAAGCCTGAAACAATTTCATTTATATCTTTTATTGTCACTCTTCAAGTGGGGAAACCTCTAATTTCCCAACATCTGATGGCGCTTTTAAACGAAGTAGCCCTTAAAAAGGAGCAGTGTTTTGTACAAAATATTTATGCTAGAGGTGGTGTCTATCCTTGCCAATAAAAACCTTTATTTGCAGATAGTATTATGTTTACCATCTGTCAAACAAGGGTTTCTCAAGGAAGGATGTCCGATCAGTGATCTCCTAACCCCTAAGATGGGGAGGGAGGCGAGAGATGGTTGCAAACAATGCGGGGGGGGGGGGGGAGAAACTGTTCAGAAAGGGCAGTGATTGTGCCACATGGCTTCTGTCTTGGATGCTAGGATGCCGAGACCACATATGCTGGGTGACACGTCTACATTTTCTGTCACCGTCTCTCCTTCGGCATAAGTCTATCCAGGATATGGCAACTGATCTGCTCTGGCAGCAGTCGATCCCCACCGTGTAACTGGTGTTTACCAACCTACCCCGATCATGCATGCTATGGCTGGCTGGGGGATGCTGGGCGTCGTGGTCCAACACACTGGAAGGGTGCCAGGTTGGGGAAAGCTCCTTTATAGGGTTGCTCTGCCAATCGGGCAAACCAGAAGTAGGAAGCCTGGAGCCTGGGGGTCAAATGAAGATCTTCCGGCCTGGCAGTCTTCCTCTGATTGGCTCTGCTCTATGGGGATAAATGCTTAAGCAGAGGTGCCCAAGACCTCAAACTTTATGGGAAGGCTTCTCTTTTCATTAGTTGCTCTGTGGAGAGCAAGGAAGCTCTCTGTATATGCCCAGATATTTACTACACTGCATCATTAACATTTTCTTTACAGATGGCGTCATGGTCAGAAATAGGAGGGAGTGGTGTTAAATAAGAGATTAGAAGGTCAACAATACCTACAAGAGGTGCTCCCCCATATGAGAATCCTACAAGAAGGAAGGGGGGATTGTAAAACATAATATAGGAAACTCCTGCTAAAATATGAAATAAAAAGACAGGCATCAGTTCTGTTCGCAGAATTCTCTGCAGAAGAAGCAAAGAAGAACCCCGTTGAAGGGGGAAGCATTCACCTTTACAAGCACCATCCTGGATGTAGAACCCCTGGCCGCAGCGGGCAACACAGAGACTTCCCAGTAACACAAAGGAAGGGTCTTTGCAGGCAGAACAGTTCTTTGCAGTCGGGCCCCGGCAAGCAGCACATGATTCATGGCAAGCTGAAGTGAGAAAGAAATTTGCAAGTCGGTCAATGGCTGGGCCACCTCATCTGGACCTTGCCAGCTTTTCAGCAGGCCGTGTGGCCACGCATGGAAGCAGCAGCGTGACAGGGAAAACTGGTGTTCGCCCCTGCTCTCCACTGGCTACTTCCTGCAAGCACATCAAGTCATGGAAGATAAAGTGGGCAACCAACGTTCTCTAAGCATGTTTACCTGTTATATGGATCTATGCCAAATCTCCTCTTTCTCCCACAGTTAATCTATGTGGGACACTGACCCCGGGCTCCCAGCCAAGGCCATAAAAGCCCCTGTCGCTGTAACTACCTCTCTGACTGGCCATGGGTCCGAGGCTGTCGAGACTGTGGTCCAGCACATCAGGAAGGACCCGAGCAGAGCAAGGCTGTTTTGATGTGTCGGAAAAGTTCAGGTCTCAACATTAACCCAAACTGTTGGAAGCGAGCAGGATGATGGGCTCAGGCAAGCATTCCTGCCACATACGGGCCACACCATTTTTGCTGATTCAGATTCCGATTCAGATGAGCAATATTTCGATGGGATGGAAGAGCAGGACTTTGCTCGAGGCCCTGGAATTCAGCTGGGAGTGCTGGGGCTGGTGATTCGTTCAAAGGGAGCAATATAGAGGTGCAGGAAGGGGGGGTTGTTGAGGCTGAGGAATCGTCAAATGGAGACCAGCTGTTCCTCTCTGAGATGGCCCTGTGGCTTGGTAGCAGCAGCGGTGAGAAGCATGTGGGGAAAAGTCATGCGTGCTCTGAGGGTTGGCTCCCAAGCTGGTTCATAAGGAAAGTTTTGGGAAATAATCGCTAAGTTTGGTTCAAGAAACCTCTTTGTGCATGCTCAGAGACTTGACTGGCTGTTTTACACGATGGAACAATAAAGAGAGTTATGCTAAGAACAGCCTGAGGTTGGTGATTGTTGGACTGAGAAACCACAGCTACAAACGGCAATCCCTTTGGAGATTCTAATCTCTGTAGAAAAAGCAAAGGGGCCCTACAAATATCAATGTATTGAGATGCATAACCCCACTTGACTGCAACTGCTCCTGGCAGCTAACTGCAGTTATGATTTGGACACGGGTCCATGTTTCTTAGAAGGTGTCGCAGAAAAAGTGCTCACGTTATAAGGGGAAGTGGCTGAATAAAGCCGACTGAATCGAGGAGTCAAAGGGCTTGGCAGATTTGCTTGAGTTATAAACAGACGGACTGAACAAAACCGAAACAACACAACTGGTGTAAATAGTGATTTATAGAAAAATTCCCCTGCTAGGCAGCCAGAAGTAAAAAACAGCAGAGCAGATAGGCCAGGATTCTAATAGCATGAAACCACCACTACTACAGAACATTCTGTGCATGCCGCTTTTATTATGATTACGTTGTTAGTTGTGAAATCGTGTCTGATCCATTGCCACCCCATGGGCAACACTCCTCCAGGCCTTCCTGTCCTCCACCATCCCCCAGAGTCCACTCATGCTCAAGCCAACTGCTTCAGTGACTCCATCCAGCCACCTCATCCTCTGCCGTCCCCTTCTTCCTTTGCCATCTATTGTTCCCAGCATTAGGCTCTTCTCCAGGGAGTCCTTCCTTCTCATTAGGTGGCCAAAGTATTTGAGTTTCATCTTCAGTATGTGGCCTTCTAAAGAGCAGTCAGGGCTGATCTCCTCTAGGACTGACCGGTTTGATCGTCTTGCGGTCCAAGGGACTCGCAGGAGTCTCCTCCAGCACCACAATTCAAAGGCCTCAATTCTTCAGTGCTCAGCCTTCCTTATGGTCCAACTTTCACAGCCATACATTGCAACTGGGAAAACCATGGCCTTGACTATACGCACTTTTGTTGGCAGGGTGATGTCTCTGCTTTTTAGTATGCTGCCTAGATTTGCCATAGCTTTCCTTCCCAGGAGCAAGCATCTTTTAATTTCTTGGCTGCAGTCCCCATCTGCGATGATCTTGGAGCCCAGGAATGATTACATTACATTAACTTAATACCACATATGTCTTCCTCTTGCAGGGAACCTGAGATGGCTTCTGAGGCTCTCCTGTTCATTTTATTCTCACAACAACCCTGTGAGGTAGCTCTGGCTAAGAGTTTGTGATTTGCCCAAGTTCATCCAGTGCATTTTATAGCTGAGTTCATGGCTTCTGGGTCAGTCTCCCAAGCTGCTGTCCAATCTCAGACACGATGCCACACACTAGTCTTTTTATGCAGAAAAAAACTGGCTCCACCTGGCTGCCACGTAATATCTTCCAGCTGTGACTCCTGCTTGCATCCAAAGCGCTCTCATTCACGCAGAGCTGTTAATTAGCTCTGCACCCTGGGTGTCCCCCATCACTGCATTTACTGCTAATTGTCAGCTCACACCACTATGGGGATATGATCCCTTGACTTCACGGATATACCTAAACCCAAAAGGAGAGGAGAGAAAAATGGGAGGCGGAAATAGAGAAGAAACCAGATTTCGAAAACTGTGAGCCAAAAATACGATACTCTCACACATAGAGAATTCTTAGTGCTGAACAGAGTTATGATGCTCACCAGACCTGCTAATGGAAAGCAGGTCTAGGAACAAGTACGCTAGCGAAGTCCTCTTCTCCCTCCCCGGCTCTCTCACGCAGCTGGTATTCCGGGCTGCTGTGCTGGGAACAGGTCAAGCATGCCAATGCCAAGATCAAAATCCTGTTGACATTTTGCTCCCGTGTATAATGAAAACACATCATACATGGCCTGCTTATAGAACAACTTATTTATGAACATATTGTTCAAGATGCTATGGGAGATTGCCTTTTATGTTTTTAATGGGTGCGATATTTACAAAAATGTCCTCTGGCTGCAATCAGCCTCTCTCCTCTGCATGAGGCACCAGACACAACTTTGCACAGTCAAAGCGCCAAGGGATATTACCGTATTTTCTGGGCACAAGAGCAGCTCATGCTGAATTTCGTAGAATGAACAGGACACTACATATATCAGTTCTACTAACAGCCAAATACAGTGCGGGGTGGAATTGTCACAAGTTGTGATTTAGCCAGAAAAAGAGTGTTCTTTATGGCACACAGGATCACACTGGCAAGCTAAGTCATGTGCAACCAACACTTAAACAATCTAAAGTTATATTGTTCCCAGGTATTATTACTTCTTTTATGATTACACCCAGTTTTGTCTTAAAATTGGACTCAGGTTTTATTATCCCACAATGAGGCACGCATATGCTTGTTGCACGGGTGAGACTGAACCCCCAAGGGCATTTGTGCTTGAATTGCTGCGGAGAAACAGAAACACAAACATAAAGACAACTTGGTAGGTCTTGTAATCCCAAAAGTATAATTTACAGGACCAGAAATTTACTACTCTACCTTTAGGTTTTTTAAAAATAAAAAGATAAATAAATATCTTACAAACACAGGGTCAAGCTGGAGCATAGCTTGCACTGTGCTTTAACGAGATTCCCTAGCATTTTGTGGTCTGAGGGCATGGGTGGCTGATGCTTTGTTAAAGCTAAGCAGATCTCAGCCCGGTCACTGCCTGGATGGGTGATCCCCTGGGAGGTGCATGTAAGACTTCAAGCTTCCCAAAGAAAGCAGTAAGAAGCATAAAAGCTTTTAAAATAAGTAAGATCAGCAACAGCTCTTACATTCTGCACCTACCACAGGAGAGTCTTGCCGCAAGCAAAAATACCCAATGATCCTGAAGACAGTGGCGAAAGCAGAAATACTAGCAGAATAGAAATTACTATTATCAATCTTTCTTCCCATCCAACGCAGGAAGCTGCAAGAATATCTGTCTGTCTAACCCAGTACTGTTCGGATTCCGCTTAAATTTATGGCATGCTCACTTTGGTTGTGTTTGCTGCTGCTTTTACCTTGTTGCAAATATATTTCAATGACTGATTATGGTTTCTATGCTTGGCATAATTTGTAAGCTACTTGGGAGGGAAAAAGTGGGATACAAGTTGCTTGAATATATGAGCAGAACAAAGATTGTTTCCGGTAACCAATGAAGGCTCTGCAGGGTTCCAGGAGAAGAAAGATCAGGAATTTGTATCAAATATGCATATGCTAATTTATACAGAAGGGTGCAATGTTAGAAATTCTTGCTGTAACTTAAAAGGGACATGCAACTTCTGGTGGGATGCAGGTGACCACGTGAAATTGTGGGGCTGCTCCTTCTGCTGCCTGGGGGCCACTGCGGATGTTCAAGACTCCCGGCCTCCTCCTCCGCCTCCTCCTTAATATGACTAACTTTTTATTAGGTTTCATTTCCAGCTTGCACCAGTAAGTAGCTGCTGCCAGAACAATAAAAGGGCAAACTGAAGTAAGGCTGGTAGGAGGGCAGAGATGCCAGCCAGCGTCCACTGGTCTTGCTCATTTTCAATTTCCAGAATTGCCTTTACAGTCCGATAAGCACAGAGTTTAAACAGTCTTGTCTCAAGCCTTGCTAAGCATCTGGTGCCTGTAATTCGCCACAGCTAGTTCATCCCTTCCTCTCTTCTGATGGTTCTTCAACTTTGAACTGGCCTTGGACTGGGCAGTCCTGTAAACAGAAGATCCCTTCAAACAGGGAGCCATTTTCTGGAAGGCGGGGCCCCTGGCCACCCTAGCATCACCAAAAAGGAGGAAATGCATTACTGAAAAATAAAAAAAGAAAAGGAAGCACACAGAGGATTGCATAAAAGGTGTAAGCTGATGTACATGTTCAGATGTAAATATAAACTATATTTTTATAGTGATAGCATACATTTCCCCATGGACTAGTTTATTTATTTTATATATTAGATTTTTGTCTCACTCCTTCGGCCAAAATAGCTCTCTGTTTGACCGTTAGCTCATAGCAGATTAAGTTCTTCAAACGTCCAGTTCGGATTAATAGTTAACTATCTTCCAAGGCAGGGCAACTTGCAGGTCAAGCCATTTGGAGGACTGCAACTCCCATCATCCCTCACTATCGCCTATGCTGCATGGAGTTGATGGGAGTTGTAGTCCAAGCCATCT